TTAACATTAAAGAAAAATGAAATAAAAGAGAAACTTGCTGTGGATTTTGCTCCTTAGGCAAAACGTCTCCAGAAAACTTGACGGGATTGCTCAAAATTGCTTTTCTTGAACCCTCTGTTGAAAAAAAAAGAATTATTCAGATGTTGATAAATGGTCAAGTTTCTCTTTTGTTGTTGTATCATAATTATTTGAGCTCACTATGATCATGGTACCACTGAGGATGTAACCCAGAAAAAAACAGTTGTTTTTCTGCATCAGTTGCTATCCTCACCATGATCCATAAGCAGGAGGGAACCAGTCGTCAGTACTTCATCCAGAGATGCAACAGGCAGATGAATTAGCTTCATCAAACATGACTGACTCTGGCCAAGAAGGCAGGTCCAGTCACCAAGGAGACAAAGATGAGGGGATCCTGGGACTGCAGGCCTGAGAGCCTTGTGGAACGGTTGCTGGAATTGGGTATGTCTAGTTTAACGAAGAGAAGGACGAGGGGGGACATGATAGCAGTGTTCCAGTATCTCAGGGGCTGCCACAAAGAAGAGGGAGTCAAGCTCTTCTCCAAAGCGCCTGAAAGCAGGACAAGAAGCAACGGATGGAAACTAATCAAGGAGAGAAGCAACCTAGAACTAAGGAGAAACTTCCTGACAGTTAGAGCAATTGACCAGTGGAACAACCTGCCTCCAGAAGCGGTGAATGCTCCAACACTGGAAGTTTTTAAGAAGAGACTGGACAGCCATTTGTCTGAAATGGTGTAGGGGTTCCTGCCTGCCTGAGCAGGGGGTTGGACTCAATGACCTCAAAGGTCCCTTCCAACTTCTTTATTATTATTATTATATCACCATCTCAGTCAAGAGGAAGCAAAGAGAAGCATTGCCAAATGCGGAGGGGTAGAAGGCACCAAGGGGAACGCCAACTTCCTGAGTAAACACTTGAGTTCCCCAGAACTGGAAGGGAGCAGGAGTCTTCCCTAAATAAGTCATGCGAAGAAACAGTGGTGAACAATCAAATGGGAAGGACAAGAGAAATAATAATAATAATGATGATGATGATGATGATGCTGATGATG